TACAGTAAAAACGTCCATATTGTGAAATATTATTATAATTTATTTCTATTTAAATATATTTTAAAATGTAATTAATAGCTTTGCTATAACAGGAATAAATTACATTATTCAAATAGAAAGAAGTTCTTTTAAATTGCAATAATATTTAATAATATTACTGTTTTTACAGTAAAGCATAAGAGACTTCTTTTAAAAATATTTAAAAAATCATTACTCCAAACTTTTTAATTAAAACTTAGTTTATTTAATTGAGATGATATTGTGCATTTTATTTGCGCAAGTCATAAAGGTCTTAATTTCGCTCATTTACTTGTGCATTTAAAATCAGTCTCCTGTGACGCTTGTGATTTGATTCATCGCAGGTGGAGTCTGTGCTTTCATGACTAGATAAATCATTTACTCTGTGAACTGCAGCACAGTGATGTTTTGGGCAGAATGTGCGTTAGTTTGTTTCCACTATAAATGATATGTGACTAGTATCTCGTGTCTGACGTCCTCTCTCGTCCCTCCAGACGTGTCTGCGTGAGTCGGACGGCAGTGACGAGGAAGACTCTCTGTCCAATCACAGCGAGGATGGCTTCAGCGTGGGCAGCTGGGACCGTGTGGAGAGGAAGGACACAGAGGTCAGTCATCCTCACTCTCTCTGCTGATGCTGCATCGTTAGAGAGTTTAACCAGCTTGTTTCTGGACGCACAGGTCACCAGATGGGTGCCGGATCACATGGCTTCTCACTGCTTCAACTGCGACTGCGAGTTCTGGATTGCCAAGCGACGGCATCACTGCAGGTGCGGCCCGTTTACTGATTCCTGTCAGCAGTGTAGAAATAGCAGAGCAGTTCAATATCACTTTATTTTTATTTTTTTTCAGGGATTCCCAAGACTTTTTCCCTCTGAGATTTTAAATAATATTAAAAATTAGGGCTGGGTAAAAAATATCGATATCTCGATATTAATCGAATCTCATTTTTATGGAGCGATATCGATTCTTAAATCCCAAGAATCGATTAGTCTAGCCTGTGTTCAGTTAATGGACCGAACGTTGAAGGGCACCTCCGATCCAATATATCGCAATAAGCATTAACCCTGGACCACAAAACCAGTCATAAGGTTCAGTTTTTTTTAATTGAGATTTATACATACTTATACAGTATAAGATTATACAGTATATAAATAATCTTTCCATTGATGTATGGTTTGTTAGGATCGGACAATATTTGGCCGAGATACAACTGTTTGAAAATCTGGAATCTGAGGGTGCAAAAAAATCTAAATATTGAGAAAATCATCTTTAAAGTTGTTCAAATGAAGTTCTTAGCAATGCATATTACTAATCAAAAATTAAGTTTTAATAGATTTACGGTAGGAAATTTACAAAATATCTTCATGGAACATGATCTTTACTTAATATCCTAATGATTTTTTGCACAAAAGATAAATCGATAA